TCTCTCTCTCTCAAATAAATAAACAAAATCTTAAAAAAAAAAACAAAAAAAAACACACCCTGACTATAACCTTGTGAGACCCAAAGAAAACAATGTAGCTGAGGCAAGCCTGGACCCCTGACTCAAGGAAATGGAGATAATGTATGTTGTTTTTATCTACTAAATCTAGCAAAAGAAAACTAATACAGTTAGAATTCTTCTTAAGTCGCTTTTACCAATGACTAGTTCCATATAAAACATTAAAATAAAGGGGCATCTGGCTGGCTCAGTCAGTGGAGCATGAGACTCTTGATCTTAAGGTTGTAGGTTCAAGCCCCATGTTGGGTGTAGAGATTACTCAAAAATAAAATCTTGGGGTGCCTGGGGCTCAGCTGGTTAACTGTCTGCCTTCAGCTCAGGTTGTGATCGTGGGGTCCTGGGATCAAGCGCCACGTGGGGCTCCCTGCTCAGCGAGGAGTCTGCTTCTCCTGCTCCCTCTGCCCCTCCCCCCAGCTTGTTCTCTCTCTCTCTCTCAAATAAATAAAAAATCTAAAAAATAAAATAAAATCTTAAAAAAAAAACACATTAAAACGGAGTATAGTTTCCTATGGCTGGTATAACAAATTACCATAAATTTGGTGGCTTAAAATAAAAATCTGTGCTCACTTCGGCAGCACATATACTAAAATTGAAATGATACAGAGAAGATTAGCCTGGCCCCTGTGCAAGGATGACACGGAAATTCATGAAGCGTTCCATATTTAAAAAAAAAATTTTATTCTCATAGTTCTGGAAGCCAGAAGCCCAAAATGAACATGTTGGGAGGACTCTGCTCCCTTCAGAGGCTCTGGAGGAGATTCTGTTCTTTGCCTCTTCCAGCTTCTAGTGGCTATCAGCATTCTTGGGTTGTGGATGCATTACTCTGACTTCTGCCTCCATGGTCATGTTGCCTCCTCCTCTTCTCTGTCTCTTGTAAGAACTATTGTCACTGGATTTAGGGCCCACCTGGGTAATCCAGGATAATCTCATTTCAAAATCCTTAATTACATCTGCAAAGACCCTTTTGAAATCCAAAAAGTTAACACTCATAGGTCCAGGGATTAGGATGTGAACACATCTTTTTGTAGGCTACCATTCAGCCTACTGTAAGAACTTAGAGGCAAAAAGAAATTTCATCCATATACTTACTCCTCTGCTGACTGGAGAGCCCTCATAGGTTTCATATGGGCCATGCTCCTTGGCCAGGTCACAGCTGGCTTCCAAGGCTCCATAATAAATGGTTTCAAAGATCTGCTTATTCAGTAGCTGGGCTTCTGGACTCTCAAAAGGATACCTCATCAGAATAAAAGCATCTGCCAGACCTTGTACCCCGATTCCAATGGGGCGATGGCGTTTATTTGATAAGCATGCCTTTGTGCCAACAGATTTAGAGAAGAAGGAGACATTACTGAACAGAAAAGGCAACACTCTGCACCAAATGATACATGCTCTTTTTTTTATCTCTGTTTTCTCACACCATTCCAATGACAGCCGCTTAAATGATGACTGGCAGATCATGATAAGCTCCCTCCAACTTGGATTTCAAGAATTACCAATAAGCAGAGACCTCTATTCATACCTCTGGGACAGGGTAGTAGTTAATATCAATAATTTTATTCAAGTTTCGGACAATGACTTTGGTGACTTCAGCCAGCTTCTTAAAGTCATATGTGTGTTCTGATGTGACATACATATTCAGGGCCAGGGAAGCCAAGTTACAGACTGCAACCTGGAATGCAAAGAAAAAGAGTCAAGAATCACACAATTTTTATTTCTTCCCCCTGTGTCAATGATGACACCATGTAAGCCTCTAACACTATAAAATTTGTATCTTTATCTTCTCCCTCTTCATCGTTCATTTCTAAATCCCAATACCTATCCACGTGTGAGTTGTAACATGCACCAGTGAAATAGGTAAGATAGAGAATCTGTGTTCCATAGTCCATGGCTCTATTACCAGACAGACCTCCCATCGTGCTCTAATTTCTTATGTGTATCTGTCTCAGTCAGTAGATGTGTGCTGTCCAATACAGTAGCCACTAGCCACATGTAGCTATTTAAATAAAATTAAAAATTCAGTTTCTCAGTGGCACTAGTCATATTTCATGTGCTCAACAGCCACCAGATACATTTCCATCACTGCAGAAAGCTCTTCCAAATTACACATTCCCACCTTACTCTTACTGAGATTCTGATAAGTTCCTAACAATAGGGTATCAAATTTGTGAATTTTGCAAAAGCTCTTCAGGTGATTTTCCACTACACTACACTAGGTGGTAAGCTTTTTCAGGAAAGAAACATATCTTATTTAACCTTATATTTTTAGTACTAGTACCACATCTGGTACATAATAAATGCTTACTAATGCTGAATGAATACACTTCCTTTTCCACTTTGGACTATCTTAACCCAAAATCTCAACTCCTCTCACCTAGACTCCCTCATGCCCTTCATATCTAACTCAATTCTACACATTGCCTAAGTACCCAGTTTTAAAGCATAGCTCAGATTGCATAAGTCTGATAAATGCTAGGGAGAAAAATAAGGCAGGAAAAGACAAAAGAGTTCTAGGAATAAGGACAGAAGGAGTGCCATTTTTAAATAGAGTTGTCAAGGAAGATCTCACTGAGAATGAGACATACGAACAAAGAACTAAAAAGGTTAGACAGCAAGCCACGTGGCTATCTGGTGGAGGAGAGCATTTTAACATTCAAAGTAAAAGGCAAAAATCCTGAAGAGGGAATGTGCTTGATATACTTGGAAATTAGTAGGGCTGGAGCACAGTGAGCAAGGGGGAAAGTAACAGGAGATGAGATGGGCATACTCAGTTGTGCATGAACCCACAGGGCACTGTAAGAATTCTGGATGGAAATGAATGAAGTACTGATACATACTACAACACAGATAAGCCTTGAAAACATGTTAAGTGAAAGAACCTGACACAAGAGACCACCATGTTATATGATTCTGTTTATAGAAAATGTTCACAAGAGGCAAATCCAGAGGCAGAAAATAGATTAGTAGTTGCCAGGGGCTGGGGGAAGAGGGTAATAGCGAGTGACTGCTAATGGGTACAAGGGTTCTTTCTGGGTTGATGAAAAGTGTTCTAGACTTAGATACTGGTGACAGTTACACAACCTTGTGGATATACTAAAAAACACTGAAATGTACACTTAGAAGGGTGAATTTTATGATAGGAGAATTGTATTTCAATTTTTAAAAAATGAACAAACTCTGGATGGGTTGGAAAGTCAAAGAGGAGTGTTGAGTGGAGGAAGGATATGATCTGATTTTTGTTTTAAGAAGGGTCATTGTAGTCTCTGTAGCATAATCTATTTTGTACAATAGTTACTTGAGTACGGTACATGCCAATTTTCTCCAACAGTGAATTATATGTTTCCAAAGGGCAGGGCCTGAGCTATAATCATTTACATCCCAGAGCACTTGGTACAGTGTCTTGCACATAGCTGGTGCTCAGTAACTCTGGCTGAATTAAACCACAACCTTAGCAGTATGTTTAATTCACTTACCATTTTCTTCCCAACTTTTCATTTGTCGTGTGTGTTAGGTCCTAGCATATGGGATCTGCTCCTTCCTCATTTCCATAGTTTACATCCAACATCCAAGCAGCCTGTCATCCAACTACTGCAATAATCTCCGTAAGCTAACCTCCAACCTCCTCTCACACCAAGACACTCTATTACCAGAAGCAAGAACTATCCTTCTCATCCTAGCATTTTGACGCTATTTTCCTTTCAGGAACCTACAAGGGCTTCCTACTCTGTGACATGCGAGACATTTCACCTACTATCTCCCCTCCCCCAGCCACAGCCATCTCTCCATATACCAAACCATAATGTATTTGCTCCATCAGAACAAACTTATTTGAAACTCTCTGCACAAAACCTATTCCTGTCTCTGATCTGTCTGACAGGCTGTTCTTCCCAAATGGAAAGCTTTTCGATAAACTTTTTTTTTTTTACATCAAATCTGTGTCCCATCTCTAGCCTCGCCTCTTCTATGAATCGCCTTAAAGATTTGACATTAGAATTTTGTCTCACCATTCACTGAAAGGACTCTCTACCTGCTTACATACTTTAAACTGAATGAGCATCCTGACACATTCTTGTGTTTGTCCTAAACCACCATAACTGAACACCGAGAAAAGATTATTACAACAATGTGTGTGTAAGAAAAAAAGTGAGTCTTTCCTACATGGCTTAGACTATAAGATATTTAAGGGCACAGATTACATCTGTTCCTTTCTTTGTCATCTCTATTTTAGTGCCCTTCTACTTATAGCAAACTATGAAAACTCCCTTCCCCTATCTCAAGTGAAATCAAGTGAGGGATTCACAAATTAACTGCCTAAGATTCTTCTCTCAGGACTCTGGGCAGAAGTTTGTCTACCTACCTCATCTTTGCTGGTATACTCTACTATTTCTGTGCACAGGTTGCTGCATTTGATCGTTCCCAGGTTCTGCTGGTTGCTCTTCCGATTACAGGAATCTTTGTAGAGCATGTACGGGGTACCTGTCTCTGTCTGAGACTCAATGATGGCATACCAAAGCTGCTGAGCTTTTACAACTTTGCGGACACGACCCTGTTTCTCATAACTGAAAGGCAAAGCTAATATTATTTTAATATTCCCTAAGAAAATCTTTATTGCAGACAACTTGAAGACACTAAAATATAAAATTATGAAAATTCTTAAATGTTTACTATGTTTTGCTAAGACAGAAGGGGAACAAAAGGAATAGGATATTCATTTTACTGTGGCTAGAGAGACAAAGGAAAATCAGGCAGCTCTGGACCCATTAGAATATACCCAAATCCCACTAAATCAACAATACCCTTCATAAGGAATAGGAATAACACCTAAAGTAGTCAAATCTACTGTGCTATTATTTAATGAACTAGTGACATGTGTTCTAGCTGTTCTTGATTTCTGTGGGCAATATAAAGCATAACTTTTTAAATCAAATGTACTGTGAGACAAAGCAAAATAATAACCCTTTACCTTAATTTTTATAAGTATCAATTAAAAACCAAAGCACCTCTTTATAAGTCACAAAATTTTAAAGAAAGAAGATAGAAACCAAATTTTGGTGAAGATTTGGGTAGCAAATCTGACCAAAATAAAATTATTAATCACATTCTCTCCCGGATGTTTCTGAAGATTCCTAGAAACTGGCTAGGATGACGTTTTGAAATTTGAATCCCCCAAATAAAAGAAACACATGATTAAAAATTATTACTTCATATTTTTCCCATACCTTTCATATAGCTTCTCAAATTCCTCTCCCCAAACCTCATCCAGACCAGGACATTCATTTGGACACAACAAGGACCAGTCCTATAAAGGGAAGAACCCATAAGAGACTTGAAATAACCAACCGCACATACTCCATTAGGAACATGGCAAGGGATAGGGTGGCTTCCATAGACTCTCTTGGAAATCTGCTGTAGAAATAACCATTTTGGGCTCAGGCTCAAACATCTAGTTCTGCCTGTTTATATATGACCTTTAAGCATTTAGGTCAGATAGAATCTGCTTTAGAGAATAAAAACCCAAAAGGGCAGGAATGGCATCTCTTAAATTGCTTAAAATGCCTTCCATAGCATAACACATAGGTGGGCTCTTCCTAACCATGATTTAAGATGACAAAAAAGAAAGCTGATATGAATCAAGTTGTTCTTACCAACAGGTACCTCTTTCTCACCTGATTAGTCTCCACTCGTTTCATGAAGAGATCTGGAATCCAAAGGGCAAAGAAAAGGTCCCTGGCACGCTGTTCTTCCTTTCCTGTGTTCTTCTTTAAATCCAGAAACTCAAAAATGTCTAAATGCCAAGGCTCCAGGTAAATAGCAAATGCCCCAGGTCGCTAAAGGCAAGTAAACCATCATTCTTCTCAGAATCAGAATGAAACAAAAAAACTTCATATTTTCCAAAGCAATTTTATAATATCACCTTTGATCTTCACAATTAAGGAAATAAATGAGATAATACAAATAAAGGTACTACAAATATAAGTAGTAATATTGTCCTTACAATTCTAGGAGTAAAAAAGAGCAATTGATAAGAACAAGATGAAATCACAAGTCCAAAGTGACACAATGAACTGCAGATGGAGCTTCCTTTCAGATGCCATACAACTCACTTGACCTTATAGGACAGGTATACAAAGCCCACAGGAAATCACTTTATCTTTGACAATAAGTTGTGCTCTTATTAAAGATCAAAAAAGTGATGTCTTATCAAGGTCTCCACAGATCGTTTTTAAAGTTCATCAAGGGAAATCCATAAACTAACAGTTGATTAGTGTGCCTACGTATCTGTCCAAGGCAAGCTCAAATTGCAACTATCCTGCTGTTAACACTGGGTAAACAATCCACTCCTCTCAACTTTACTTCTCCCTCTGTGAAATAGGCAGAGTTTTGTTTTTGTTTTTTAAAGAAAAAGCTACAAGACTATTACAACCCCTTTTCAACGTTAGGTATTAATATTAAGTCACAACTTTAGAAATTCTTTGCCAATAAGCTGTCACATAAAGAAGCTGCCTAGGGGGAGCCTGGCTGGCTCAGTGGGTACAGCATGTGACTCTTGATCGTCAGAGTCATGAATTCAAGCCCCACACAGGGTGTGGAGCCTACTTAAAAAATATAAAAATAAATAAATAAATAAATAAAAGCAAGCTGACTAGACCATTGGCTGCCTGGAGCCAGGGGAAAAGTCTGTATGCGTGGGGGTGATGGGGTCATTAATCAAAGATGCCTGCATAAACATTTTGGGGTAATGGGAAATGTTCTATATCTTGATTGGTGTAGTGACAAGTATATATATTTGTCAAAATCCATCAAACTGTACACTTAAAGTGTGTACACATTTAAAGTAAGTAAATTATACCTCATTAAATTGATTTTAAAAGTGAAAAAAAGGAGTTAGAAATATATACAGTATATTAGGAATGTAGTTAGAAATATATATACAGTAAATCATCTTATTTGAAGCATACATGGTTAAAGATTTTTTTTTTTTTTTAAAGATTTTATTTATTTATTTGAGAGAGAATGAGATAGAGAGAGAGCATGAGAGGGGGGAGGGTCAGAGGGAGAAGCAG